CAAAACTCTGCACATGCAAAAAAGTATAAAAGTTAATTGAACTTATGTTGTTTGAAACTGATGAGCTAAGAAAGAACTCCTCAACAAGGGCAAGTTGCTTGTATAGCATATTTTACCTTGGAAAATTCAGACTCTGTGAATGGCTGTTTAGATAACTCTATATATGAACAATTGACAAATGTAACATTTGACATTTCTTCATTTCCACAGAAATATGCTTGTTTTCACTCTACCTTGTCCATTACTTTTAAATACAGTTTGCAAACTAGAGACTATTGTGTGATTGACCTTCCTACACAAACAATCCACTCTATATCATTGATAGTCTTGACATTTTCACAGTACATTTTTCCCTGTGCTTCAGAGAAAGTATAATAATTATGTTTAAGTAGGTAGGATATTATACATAAAAGAAAGAAAAATCTTTATAATGTGAGTCTGAACATTATGTAATAACACTGACATCTACTTAAAATTTAACAGAATGAAACAAATATACAAGTAAACTTAATACTTATATTTCAAAAATACCTTCATAAAATTTGTAGGCATATTAAAAATATAGAGGCATCAAACAGTTTTTAGATCACTTAATTCTATTGTTTTCAACTTAAATAAAAGCTGAATTAAAAAATAAACAAAAAATATTTGTTTTTATTTTACAATATCATGTTTGGTTTAGAAATATAAAGGGACAAGTACTCACTTTGTTTGAAAAAATACTTATGAAAAGAGTTCAGAATAATTACAACCAGTAATTTTACTATGTTCTATTATTATTATAGATTTTATTATAGGTTTATTATTATTATAGATTTTTCTATTATTATTATAGATTTTATTATAATTCTATTATGTATCTGATCAATAATGCAGAATAAAGCTATAGTAATTTTATATCCTTCTCTATTTTATATTAGGAAAGCACTAGTTAGTATTCTTTTGATTAATAACTGAAGTAGAGAAGATAGCTTCAAAGTGTTTGGCCAGACATTTCCACATTATGACTCTAGTAATATTTATCTAGCATTATTATTATTATTATTATTGTCGGTTGTGGGCTTGAACTCTGGGCCTGGGTGCTGTTGCTGCGCTCTTCAGCTCAAGGCGAGCGCTCTACCACTTGAGCTACAGCGCCACTTCCAGTTATCTGGTGGTTTATTGGAGATAAGAGTCTCATGGACTTTCCTGCCGGGCTGTCTTTGAACCCTGATCCTCAGATCTCAGCCTCCTGAGTAGCTAGGATTATAGGCGTGAGCCACTGGCGCCGTCTTTCGCTAGCATTATTGAAAAATAATCTGTAGGACATTGTTATAACAAGGAACAAATAATATTTAATGTCTCCAAAACTAATTTTAAAACTCTTTTATACATTTGGAACTCTAACTACTAATTTATAATTTGTTTTTCAAGATTTTGTTAGACATATTAACTATTTGGGATAAAACATCGATTTTTACTAAGTTGCTCTACTCTCTGAATTTCTGACTATCCAAAGTAGGCTATTTGTTTTCTCATCTACTTTTCCACATTGGATATTTAGTTTTTATAGAGTTTGTCTATAAGTTCTTTTGTACATTTTTTATTGTAAAAATGCTGTACAGAGGAGTTAGTTACATGAACAAGGTAATGAATATATTTCCTATTGAGCATTGTTGCCTCCTTCTTTGTTTTCCCCCTACCATCCCTTCCCTCCCACCTCCACAACTACCCCCCCACACCTGAAGTTGTAAGTTCATTTTCAACATAGTGTTTTGTACATCTCATTGTTAAAATGGGTCCACCTGTATCCTTATTTAAGGATTTTTTTTTCCTTACCCTCCCCGAATTAGAGAAGTGTATATACAAAAGGACAAGATACAGGGCACCAACATCAAATACAGTGAAAATAGGGGTTATACCATGGGAGAGGAACATACAAAGCAACAAAAAGCAATCAGATGGTACATTATAAACACGTTAGAAACAATAGCAAGAAAGATATTTGTGTCCTTATCTTGGGGTTCATTTTGCTTAACATCATCTTATATGGTCATACATACATGACTTTTGGCCTTTTCTCTTTTCTTACATGTGTACTAGCTACTGCAAATAAGAGACACCATGGAACCTATGTTTCTTTGGGCCTGGCTTACTTTATTTAATATAATCTTTTCCAAGTCTTTCCATTTTCTAACAAATAGTGTGATGTCATTCTTTCTGATGGAGGCATAGAATTCCATTTTTATATCTATATGTATATCTATCTATCTATCTATCTATCTATCTATCTATCTATCTATCTATCTATCTATCTCTTTCACATTTTCTTGATCTATTCATCTACTGAGGGGCATGTGGGTTGGTTTCACATCTTAGCTATGGTAAATAATACCATGATAAACAGGGAGCTCTATGTGGACTCTTTTGATGAACCTCCATACTGCTTTACAAAGTGGTTGAACAAGTTTACATTGCCACCAACAATGAAATAGGGTTCCCTTCTGTCCACATCCCCTCCAGCATCTGTTGTTATTAGAGTTCTTGATTATAGCCATTCTAACTGGGGTGAGCTGGAATCTCAATGTTGTTTTGATTTTCATTTTTTTTTTGTTTATGGTTAGAGAGGTTGAGCATTTCTTCATGTGTCTTTCTGCCATTCTTATTTCCTCTTCAGAGAAGCTTCTCTTTAAGTTTTTAGCCCACTTATTTATCAGGCAGTTGTTTCTTTGAGGATTTGTTGTTGGGGGATTTCGTTTTTTTGAGTTCCAAGTGTATCAGACCCTTGTCCATTGTATGGCTAGTGAAGATCTTCTCCCAATGGTCTATAAGTTTATAATAACCTTTTTGCAAATATTTATTATACCTCAAGATATTGCTTGAGTACAAATGTGCTCAATGACTACATGTCCATTTTTAGAGTAGACAGTTTTATTTGAGATGATTTGAGATTTCTTGAACAGGTCTAAGTATTAATATCAGAAAGCAGTATTTTATTTTCTTCTTCCTTTCTTACTTTCCTCCCTTTCTTTCTTCCTTTCTTTCTTCCTTTCTTTCTTCCTTTCTTTCTTTTGTCTTATTTTATTTTTTTCTTTTCTTTTCTTTTTAGAAGCAAATGAGGTTTGAATTCAGGACCTGAGCACTGTCCTTGAGCGTTTTGGCTCAAGGCTTATACTCTACCACTTTGTGCCACAGTTTACTTCCAATTTTCTAGTGCTTACTAGGAGATAGGGGTCTCATAGACTTTTCTGCCTGGGCTGGCTTTGAACTGTGATCCTTATGCCTCAGACTTCTGAGTAGGTAGTTTTATAGGCTTGAACCACCACCAGTGCTGGGATCAGAAAGAAGTATTTTCAATGCAAAAAGGAAACAAAAATCAAGTTGTCACTTTATATTGGCCTTAAAAAAACTATAGAATCCTTTGTGATGTTCAGATGAATTAGTAATGAAGAGGTTAGAGATGCAGCTTAGTTGGTAGAGTGCTAGCTAATGAGATTAGGTATTATGTTCAAGTCCCAGTCTCAGACCAAATTTAATAAAAAGCAGGTGCAGGGGTTGTTAATGTGGCTTAGTGGTAGAGTGGTTGTTTAGCATGTGTGAAGCCCTGTATTTGATTCCTCAGTACCACATAGACAGAAAAAGCCAGAAGTGTCTCTGTGGCTCAAGTGGTACAATGCTAGCCTCACAGAAAAGAAGCTCAGGGATATTGTCCAGGCCCTGACATTAAGTCCCAAGACTGGCCACGAGAGAGAGAGAGACAGAGAGACAGGCAGAGAGACAGAGAGACAGAGACAGAGAAAGAAAGAGAAAGATAGAAAGAGAAGGAGAGACACACAGGCAGACAGAGACAGAGAGAGAAAGAGAAAGAGAAGGAGAGAAAGGGAGTGATTGAGAGATTACTAATGAAAACAATACATGAGTGAATACAATTAAAAAGTTTATTTTAGTTTTTAACTACTTATTGTATTTTCCTTCATCATTTGAATAGATTGACTTTTTAGCTTTCACACTACGTGTTGCACTGACTATAGGTTTTGGCAAAAATTCACCTATATGTATCCACTATGATGACATAATGAAGACTAATTTGAACGCCCTAAAAATCTTTGATGCTCTACCTATTTATTCTTCCTCCTTCCCCTTGATGTCCTGACAAACACTAAGCTTTTCATGGTGGATGTATATTTTCCCTTTTCAATATATAATTGAAAATCAAGGGATTGCCTATTTCACGTATTCATAAACATAATCATTTGCTGTCTTCAAGATAGTTCAAAGCCAGTTGATGGCGGCTCAGGATGCTGAGTTCTTAGGATTGCTGTTCAAAGCCAGCCAGGGCAGGAAAATTGATGGGATTATTAACTGGAAAGTAGCACTGTGGCTCAAAGTGACAGAGACAGGAACAAAAGAGCTTGCAGACGGTGCCCAAGTCCTGTGTTCAAGTCCCAGAACCCACCAAAAAAAAGTTCTGTTGCCAGGTACCTGACAGTTTATTTATTCACTTCTTTACGGATATCTTGTCAGCTTAAAACTTTTTGCAAATAATTACAAAATTGCCATAAACATCATTGTACATAATTTTGTGTCAAAATTTATTCATAGATCATTAGAATAAATACCAAGGAACACAATTGTTGGGATAAAAACTAAGACAATGGTTTATCTTGTAAGAAACAAAATGTCTTCAAAACTGCTCTCCCATTCCCTTACCAGCCCTAAATAAACAAGAGTTACTCTTATTCATCTCAACATTATCTAGTGGTGACTGTTTTGTGCATTTTGGCCATTATAAGAATGTATAGTAATGACTTGTTCTTTTTAATTTACATTTGCCTAATGAGATGATATTGTACATTCTCCCATCCGTTGGATATCTATATATTCTTTGGTGAAGAGGCTACTCAGGTCTTCTATTATGCTTTGTTTTGTCTTGAGACAGCATCTTTTTTTGTTGTTGTTGTTGGTTGTGGGGCTTGAACTCCAGGCCTGGGTGCTGTACCTCAGCTCTTCAACTCAAGGAGAGCACTCTTCCACTTGATCCATAGTGCTACTTCTGGTTTTCTCATGGTTTATTGGAATTAAGAGTCTCACAGACTTTACTCCCTGGGCTGGCTTTGAACTGTGATCCTCAAATCTCAGCATTCTTAGTCGCTAGGATTACAGGTGTGAGCCACTGGCACCCGGCTTTTGACGCAGGATATTTCTATGTAACTCAGATTGCCTCTGAATATGCTATCTTCCTGCCTGCACACCTGAGTTCTGAGATTACATTCATGTGCCCAAATGCCCAGCTTTTCCTTCAGTTTTAATTACAATTTTCCTTAATGTTAATTGTTTAAGATGTTTGTGTGTCTTTTAGCCTGGGTGGCTCCTGCAAATAATGACTCTCAACTGTGACTTGTCTTCCTATCCTTTCATGAGTATATATCATACAATTCACTGTTTTCTTTTAATCACCTGTGAGTAATCTTTCAGTCTATAAGTTTAACAAGAAAAAGTTATTTCTTTCATGTACCTCAAATTTAATCTCTTGTATGACACAGAATTGTTTTGAATCAGTAGCGAATCAGAGTCGCTTGAACATCAGTGTTATGCATAGTCATGGTATCCCCCAAACTCTGTTTAAATGTAACAGAGTAATTGAAATAACATGTGGGACTTTAAAGAGCTGATCTGGTCACAAGAGGTCCAATACCATGACAGTTTGGCACTGTTATTGCACAGGTGCACTCTTTACTGCTCAAGTGGCTCTTGGATGGAAAGGCCAAGTTCAACACCATCCCCCTTCTCTAGCTTTAGTGAACTTCTTGGCCTTCTGCCATTCTATAACACAGACAAAATGACGTCGCCAGATGAAATCCCTCAGTCTTCAACTTCCCAGTATTCAAAATTGTGACACAAAGTTTTATTATTAGTATGTCATCCAGTTTTTAGCATTCTGTCATAACAGCAGAAGACAGAATGACACCATCATACTATTTTTAACTGGGAGAATACAACAAGGTTCTCGGATGGAATGAGCTGATGGCAGGTGAGATTTCTCTAATCCTAGTTGTCTCTGCTATTGAATTTCCTTTGAAAATGTAATAGATAGCATTCTTCCTTTTGTCCCTGTTTAATGTCCTAATGTCCTTGCATGAGTCTCAAAATATTACTTAAATCATTCAAAATTACCTGTCTTTTTCAAAATGTATTTTGTTTGAGATTTCTCTGCATGCATAATCATCCATTAAAACGAACTATCCCGATGATCATTGACCCTAAGAAGGGATGGTTTTGAGTGTTCTCTATACCTTGTTGAAAGTCATGCAAGTCCTGAGGAAGGTATGGTATTTTAGGGTCAATCCCTTTAAAAAAACAACCCATGCCTATCAGGCAAGACATTCAGAAATACGTGACAGCAAGTGAACCTAATGGCAGAGTATGCGCTGAGTCAGTCCTTGAATTTCCCTGGACGCCTTCTCACCTGCACTTAGCAGCTGTTTGTTTCCTGGTTCACTGGAGCATATGATGCTGCACCAAGCCACGGGTCAATAAAGTCATTTACAATGATCCAACCCTCAGAGTGAAAGAGATGATGCATCAACCAAAACTCCTTTAGGCAACAGGCTTAGCAGGGAAATTTTGCACTTTAGGTAGCAACATATAATCAAATGAATCAGCAGCCTGCACATCTCCCCAATTAATTTTACTGGCTTTGGAAAGCATGCAGCCAACTTTTGAAGGCTCTTACCCTTCAGCAAAGATGATAGAGTCAGACATCAAACCACGCAGAAAACTTCCAGACCTTGATCTTTTATTTATTCATTTTATATTGTCAAGTTTGTATTCCATACCCGATTTAATATTCTTCACAGTTCTATGTAATATTGTCCTGTTCCTATGAAACAATGAGATCATTAGTTTTCTAACTACTCTCAAGCAATATTGCTAATACAAATTTCAAAAAAACCATAACTATCCATGTTGAAAACATACTAAATGCAAAACACTATGTGCTTTAAGTAGATAACCTTGTTTAACTCTAATAAACCAGCCAGGCTACATATGATATGTTTGATCACATTCTTAGAAAACTACATACATTTATTAGACAATATTCTATCATTGTAGGCCTCCAGAGATGATTTAACATGCAAATGTATCTTTCAGACTTAAAGTCAATGTGTTTATTGCCGTAGGAGCAAATAAAGGTATCCACTGTACCATTATCAAAGCCTGATTTTATTACTAGCGTTATAAAATTGACCTTTAGCTTAGATGTTAAATGCTTAGTATTTTGGAATTATTCAAAATTAAATAAACTGTTTAAAATGAATATCACATTATATTTCATAGTGTTTCTAGCTGAAGAAAAATAGCTTGATGTACTTTATATGAATCATAAAATAATATAACAGTTTGAGTCCTGAGAATATGGCATGATATTAAATACACATGTATCTGACTTAATCCTCATATTAGCACAAGAACTAGAGATTCTTTCAAGCTGCTTGACAGAAAATAAACTGATAGCTCTCATCTAAGTGTTTAGGTAAAGACAAATTTCATCAGAATTTTATATATTTCTCCTGGAAAACTACATTTGTGCTCCAATCCCTATTTTTTTCATTTCTTTAATTTCTATTGGTAATTTTCTATTTGATACACTTAATCCCAATTGTAAATTGGAAGCAGAAATTGGAAATGTTTGGATCTTTTGTGGCAATTGAGAACCTTGGAGCAGCAAATTCTCACAAAACCAGCAGTTCTCACTCTTTGTAGAAATCTAGCAGGGTCTTGAGATGGGGGTTGTGTAAAGTCAACATGTCATGTGCAAGAGACTATCCTTTTGCAGTTTAGTAATAGATCCTGAAGAAACATAAAATAATCCATGCAGATGAAAATACATGAAGTTAAATAAATGGAGTGCTTTCTATAGTAAATTGAGTGCTAAGTGAATGGATTTAGGAGGGGATGTCTTAGGGTAAATATGTACTCAATGAACAGAAGCAGAAGTGTGCATAGGAAGCAAATGACATGGCGTTCTTCCACACTCAAACTGATTTGCTTAAAATCGTCTCACTTCCCAAAATCCCAAGCAAGAGGAGGCAGAAAGCTGTTGCCATAAGTCCAGTGATTTCCTGGAATATTATCAGGCATGACAGACAGCTCTGTGAATTTATATGAAATTCATTAGCATTTAAGTTCTTTCCTTCAAAATGGCTTGAATCTTGACCTAATCTTTATCTCTTTGGAGACCTATAAAAGTGCTTCCCAAACATCCACAAACAAATAACAATGTACCGAGTCACTCTCTGTGATAAATAGCGTTTAATCCAAACCTGAGGAGAGAGAGAATGGATGAGTACATCACTGGAGCACTGCAAACCGAGGTGTTGAATCCTCCTCCTGCCTGCAAGGTTTTCAATCAACAAACCGCAGGAAAGCTCATTGCACTTCCTTCATTACTTATAGTACCTGGGCTCATGGCAGCAGGAGGTTTATCTCATTCTTCCTGTATGATTATTCCATCTCACTCACCTTCTTACATTATTTAAGAGGATGCCAAGTCCTTCTCACTTTGTATTCGGGAGCTATTCATCAGCTCCACAGTGGTTCTTTCAGACTACAGCCTAACACACAAAAATACTATGTTACAGCGACACACAGCAAAAGCCATTCACCCTAAAAAGCAATGCAGTGTGTGAGAGGGGAGGGAAGGTTGCGGTTTTGCTTCTACTTTGCCCTTGTTTGTGGTGAGTACACCTCTGCCAAAGTGACGAAACAGAAAATGTTTATCTTCCCCCAAGTGGTCACATTCCCTTCCCTTTGCACAGCTCATGTTAATAGAAATACATCAAAACCCCCTATTCATAAGAATACGGTCTTCTATAATTTCTAATTTTTGGCTTTAGAAGTTGTGCTTAATTCTAATGACAAATCTCATGATTTTCTCATTTGTTCAAACTGTGTTCATGTAAATTTTCAACATTTGACTCACTTAAATGTTCTTCCTGTGCTGCTACTAAATAGTGTGTTGAAAGCTGAACCCGGTGGTTCAGATGTGGATCTACTTTTAGTTTTCTGAATATGGATGCTCAGTTTTCCTAGACCAATTATTGAAGAGACTATTTTTTCATTCTCTCCACTCCTCTTTAACATAGTTCTGGATCTCCTAGTAAGAGGAATAAGGCAATAAAATGATATTAAGAGAATTCACAAAGGGAAGTAAAATTGTCTCTATTTGCTGAAGAAATGACCCAAAAGATTCCATCCCCAAGCTCCCATAGCTTATTGATGACATTAACAATATGTTAAGATACAAAATTAATCCACAAAAATCAGTAGCCTTCACTTAATATGTTTTTTCCCTGTCTTTCTATTTTCTTATAAATGGGGTGATGTCCTTTCTGATGAAAACATAGAATCCATTGTGTATATATACCCAACCACAAACAAAAACATACTAAAGCTACCAGTACAACCATGTTTCTTTCATCATTATTTATCATAGCTAAGATATAGCACCAACCCAGACGCGTCTCAATTGACAAGTGCTTACTATTGTAAAGTTACTTCCAATATTCAAGCTGCTATCTACACAATTATACAGTCATAGAAATCTGATGCCAGTGTTCTATCTCATGGCTTTAACCTCACAATCACTTCTAATTTCAATGAGTAGCAATTTACTCCAGGAATATTTACTCTCTTGTCAGTCCTCAATTGGTATTGTACAAAGATTCTTCATCTGTAATGTAGGGAGGTTTTCCTTTCATAGGATATTCTTAGGTTATAATTCTATATGACTCAAAATACTAGCTATTATTTCTGTTTTATGTGTGTTGCTTGTGTGAGGGCATCTTGTTTTTGTCACAAAGATGGATAGTGCTGATGATATTTAAAGCAAAGTTAAAGGAATAAGTATCCACAGCCTGAGTCAGACCTTCTCAACCTAATTGTGCTGGCAGGACAAGTTAGCAAACACTGCACAGCAGAGAGAGATGTGGACTAACAGGACATGAAGCTTTCTTTTAAAGAAAAAAAAGTA